TATCTTCTGATTCACTTCGTTGCGGGACCCAAGACAGTTACTCATGTCCCTGGGACGCGCCGGACTTCAATGTTCCGGTGTTTTCATGGTTGTATCCACTGTAGATCCTGGCTTACAGGAGTTGCAGCGGTTTTGGGAGGTTGTGACGGGCTTGCACCATAAAAAAAAATAAAGATCAAAACAAAATATAGTGAGATTTTAAGGCCATCCATCGACTTAGGAATTAAGGTAGGACCCTAATATATTGCTATAAGAATAACATAGATTCTGTGATGAGGGAAAAGACGCACAATTTATTACACATCAATATAGTCACCGAATAAGAAATATGTTTAGAGACCATCAGTAGAGTATAAGAAAAGGGTACCCACTATCTTTTATGATTCATTTCCCCCGTTTTGAAGCCTTTCAGGGGCAGGAAGACCGCTGTTATCACGGCATACATCACGCAAATGACGAAAAATGAGGACTTCAATTTCGTATCTCATTCGCTCATTCACTCATGATGCGTCGAGGACATATTTTCTCTCGTATGAAAGCATTTTGTTTAGTCCGGCCAAATAAATTCTTGGTGGTTTTTGTACAAGGTATTTTGATCAGATACGCGTCGTTTAGTACTAGTTGATATGGAAGTCATTGGCTTATGTTCAGCAGTCGATTTCTGTGCCTTAAAGTATATATTTTGATAAAATTAGTTTTTTGTTTCATGAATTTGGCCTGAAATAGAGTAGTTACAGAAATTACATTTTAATATCCGTCTGGTACATTGATTTAAAACTTTAGACACGTATTTTTTCTTTTCTCACAAACTTAAATACTTTCGAAGATGTATTAATTTGAAATATCATATGACGTCACAGCGTGCCACATTTTGTAGCACGTTATGACGTAACGACCTCCCACTCCTAAACTTAGCGCCAATTTATCTTAGTATTGCAACTTAATACGAGAAATTAAAAAAATACGTGTCTAATATTTTTTCAACTTCTAACTGACGGACTAATTAGATTTTTAATTTTGATAGGTAGGTACCCTGGAAACTACCCAATTGTGCTCGGACATGCTGGAATAGTATGTATGCTAAATAGTGGCTCGCCCTTATTACATAAGAACCATAGCATAATTTATTAATTTATTACACTAAAGTAGACGTTCTGTTGTATATGTAGGTACATATCTGTCTACTCCTTCGGGGATTAAGAGGTGTGAGGTTACAAATGTATAGCGTTTGTTACCCCTTCGATTTATGCTGCTCTGACATCCCCCAAATGCCATAGGTGATAAATACCGTCCTCTAGCTTTTAAATGACATCTCGAGACTGACAGCTGTCAGGAAAATGTCAAGGGTACCTACGTATATTTCACTTCAGGCTTCGTTGGCTGCAAATGCCAATTTCAATCGAATCGAGTGTAGGTATTTTTTTTCATTCGATGATTTTTCATTTGTCTGGGTGCTATAACCTACGGGCCATCCCAACACATCTTATCCTATTGCAATGAAGTTAAAATTCTGTCAAGTAATCGTTCGCTTTTACGAAGACTATTTCGACTAAGGAACATACCTAGAAATAAAGGTAGCATAAATAATATTTGACCTCAAAATATTTACTTTTAAGATCCAACTCACAGCTACATCATACATAACACAACCCATAATATTTGCGCTCACTGACTTATCCTAACGATGTTCAACCACCGTCGTGAAACCAACCATTACTCAAGTAACCACCGCTACCGGTAGATGGCAGCACTGAGAAGCAGGAAATCTAGTAGGCTATGAGACCAAGATACACGGCTAACACATCACGCCAAACAACCAGCTTATGATAATCTCAGTTTGTATGATCTTTCCGCACATTCTACGGTCAGTTTATACTGGTTTAGCATAGCTTGATATGTAGTCGTGCTCACCACGGCACCACTCATATCTAACGAGTGATATAAATGGAAAGAAAGAAATGCGGGAAAGCTTTCAGGGGCCTGAATATTTCAGTTTGGTTTTGAATTCAAAACATGTTTTAAGTGGGAACCGCTGTGTGGTTTTGTAAGGCACGTTGCAAGTATGGTTCATATTTTAAAATCATACTATGTAGGTACTAAGTGGGTTTACACTAATTTTTGTGGACTAATAAATCAAATTAGCTAGGGTGCAACGATTACTAGATAGATAAGACCACAGATATTTTTATATAATTCGTGTAGAATATAGCTAATAGGTAATTCAGAAGGCAAGTATTGATACTTGCCTTTACAAGTATTGATATTTAGGTAGTATATTTATGGATGGGGACGAGATTTCTTTCCAAGTTCTGCTGAAACCCTGATAATATGTTTTTTAAAAGAAATGCTATGAGGCCCGGCCATTGTTTCAATAATCTACTGCAAAATATATTTTATAAAGTCAATTAATTTATGCTTAACACTGAAATAACCAATTTAAGTTCAAACGAACGAGAAAAAGGTAAAATAATACCAATATCAGTAAGTAATTATTAATAAATTAGTAATTAGTAAAATGTAAAAGTATTATTAGTAATTATTTAAGTTGACTCCTCTGGTGTTGCGGGTGTCCATGGGCGGCGCTGATCGCTTACCATCAGGTGATCCGTCTGCTCGTTTGCCTCCAATTCCATAAAAAAATATATACCTGTTATTAATTTACCCTATTTCCCTAATATACTCTTAACATAACCAAAAAAAGAGTACTTCAATACTTCACCATTATCGATGCCAACGATGAGTCTATCAGCTTCGAGCAAGGTTCCAAGTGCCTTCTGAAACGACTGGCAAAAACTGACAAATAAAAAGCTGGAATAATACTAAAATTAAGGTCGATTCGAACGAATATAGACTATAATACCTTTGGAACAAAGGTTGTTAGTAGTTGGAGCTAGCTGGGTTTATCTAGACTATAGATATAGCAATCGGCGTCGCCCATGGACACGTGGAACACCAGAGGCGTTACAAGTGCGTTGCCAGCCTTTTGGGGATTAGGAGTTTGAGGATCGTTGGCAATTCAGGAATTGGGGAGATTGGGGAAGGGGAGGGTAATTGGGCCTCCGGTAACCTCACTCATACGACGAAACACAACGCAAGCGTTGCTTCACGTCGGTTTTCTGTGAGGCCGTGGTATCACTCCGGTCGAGCCGGCCCATTCGTGCCGAAGCATGGCTCTCCCACACTGTTTGTATTGTTAAGTCTTGAACTGTCAAACACCAAGCGGTCACCGGTGACCGCAACCTATTGTTCTTTAATTGTGTCTATAATGACGGTACTCGTCGAGTTAAATAGCTTTTTTTTTATAAAAGTTGATCTTATTCTACTTGATTTTCTTCTTGTGTCGCGGTAGCTGATTAGCCGCGAAGGACTTAACGGGTTGCCGGGGCTTCGGCTCGAAGTCTAGAAGTAGGAACTGGGTTGGTTTTAGTCAGTAAGACTCTGATACTTCTTCTCACCTCCACTGGGCGGGAGAAGTCACTGAATGATTTTCCCCCTATAAAAAGCCATTCTTTATAGAAAACGTGTCATTCAATTCAATTACTTAATTATAATTGTGTACAGTTGGATATTTTTGTGTTAATAAAAGTTTAAAACAATATATTAGACGCAATAAAAGTCAGTTTTTTTTTCAGTAAAGCATTTATTTTCAATATTAATATAACAATAATATCACCTGACATACAAATGCACAAAAACATTTAATTTGAGAACCTAAACTAATAACTGTTTTATATTTATTTATTAAATAAAATAATCACTCAACAGCAAGAAAGTTCTCGGACAAACAATAATGATTAATTAGGACACTAACAAAAAATAAGGCGAAACCTAGATATCTCTATTCATTAATTCAAACAACAAAATTATTAATTTTTCGAAGTCTCATCACGTCGCTTACGTAAGTGGACCGGGGCGGGATCAGAAATTAAATTTTAAAATTAAGTCTGGATCAAGAATTCAATTTTAAAACTTAGAGGGTAATAAAAATTTAAAGTAAATATTGTCATTTCGTATTACGTATGGTTTACGTGTGTGAAGTTAGTTAAGAAAATATTGTCTATGTAATTACATAGACAATATTTGTGCCAACTAGTCAAATTCAATACTTTTTTCGAACTGTCAAAAATGACAGTTTTCTATGAATTTTGTACGAGATTGTGTATTGTGACGTCACGTTTTTTTAGCGACAGACAGTGTAGTTATTTCTGAAAAATTTGCTGGAATAATACTAAAATTAAGTTGGTTATAAACTCAATTAATGAAAGTTACATTATTAATTAATATTTTAATGTATTAAACAGTCGAATTAATTTATTTTTGATTAAGGAAAGATCCCAATTAGTAATTTTGATACTCATAGTTTTAATTAAATGTTTTTCAGTAGTTAAGTACAATGACTGAAAACCAATCGCTTGAAAATAAGATGGTATATATTTTGTAAAAGAAATAACGAAATAGGTGAATAGACGACCTGATTAAGGTCGCAGGGAGCCGTTGGATGCAGGTCACTTCCAACCGGCCTATCTGGAAGTCATTGGGGGAGGCCTATGTTCAGCAGTGGACGTCCTGAGGCTGATATGACGATGATGCTGATAATGATGAACAAAAAAAGGTTTCCTCTTCTCTGATGATTTTTCACCCCCGAATATTCTTTCTGCTTGTAACTTAGGAGAATTGATTACTTAACCATTTTTTGCAAAGCTATTTAATATTATTATCATAACCATTTATAGGATTTGAATCAAAATGTTAATCAGAATACAGCCTAAAACCCTTCTAAGATTCACAAATATTCTGAAACTAAAATCTGTACCCACAGAATTTATTATACCTAGATAAACTTATTCTAGATTTTTAACACTACTATTGAGCGAAGTAAACACAATTCTGCTAGGAATCCTGGACTGATAACTATCATGGATCAAAATACATCCAAAGGGGAGATTTGGATCAAATCCCTGATCCTTACAATTTAGACTTTTTGATCTAGTTGGACTAACTGTAGGTGAAGTTTGTACTTCTTTGTCGATACGTTGATTTTCGATGATTTCGTTTATAGTGGAGTTATCCTGTAAAGAACATTTAAGAAATTAATTAAAACTAAGATAATAAGCATTGCCATATAACGCGGCAATGCTGACAGTCTTCTGGACACGGTCCCCAGTGACAGTGATGCGGACGAATGGTTTGACGCCTGACTGATGGTATTTTATTTTTGTTATCTTTTTTTATTCACTATTATAGTTTTATTTAAATTGAAGTTGTATATATTTATTCATAATTATATTATGTAAGTGTATTATTTGTAAATCAATTTATTAAGAACTGAATTTATGAAAGAATCCTTGTATTTAGGTTAAATCTTCTAGATGTTAAATAGTCTAATTTTTAAGACTTTTTTCTAGTGTCGTGATAATCGGTAATTTTCAAACACATTCAAAACATTTTGTGAATCATAAAAATTATACATTTGTCAGGGAATTGCACTTGCGACATTTTGTTATTATTATTCCATCCATGAAGCCACGCCATTATGGCATTTGATTTAAAAAAAATAAAATGTGCAAAGTTTTGTGCTAATGGATATGCACTTGGAAGCAGTAAAGAAACGTAGCCACTACCATATTCTTGCATGTTATCGAACCCTCTATAACTTTAAAAGAAATTGACAATTTTACAACAAAATACTCTCATTTTAAAGGTGTCTCAAATACCTTTTATACGACATACGTTACCAATTAATAAAATACTTTAATCAGAAAATATTTATCGAGAAATGAAAAAGAAAAGGCTTTGCTCCCAAGTGTATATAGGAAGAAGAATTGAATTATAATTAAGACGAATGTAATGCCCCAAGTGTTGCAGGCGTACATAGGCTACGGTAACCGCTTAACATTAGGTGGCAGGTGTGCTTTTTGCCAACGTCTTAAAAAAAAAAATTGAACTTACCCCAACATTTTCTCCAGTCAAATCCGCTACAACAATGTCGTTTTCAGAATCACAATTTTCATTATTATTACACTCTTTGTCTTTGCTATTTTGTTCATTAGAATTATTTGTCGTTTCGTCTATAGTGAAATTGTCAGAAGATGATCGACTTACAGTAAGACTTGGGGTGTTTTTATGTGGTGAGATTTGATCGAGCTTAGCTCTCTTAGTAGGGGAGAAGGACGAATCTGTAATTAAAAAATTTGAATTAAATTAAAATTAACTTCCAAAATATTTTATTATTTTAGTTAAGATGTAAGTGTAACTGCCGAATAGAGGCTCTTATTTCGATTCGAATTCGATAAGTTATTTAGTTTTGAAGGGGTTGGTTATGATATTTTTTAAACGTTGCCCCACACTACAATTTTCGTTTGTCGTGGGTGCGTTTTCAAACATACAATACACATGACACTCAGACTCAAAACAACAATTTGAGATTACACAAAGAGTTGCTCCGTCTGCCTAACCCGCTGTGTATCAGCCGTAGCCGGTTGCACAGCCACCGTACCATCCATGAGTCATATGATTGGCTTTAGTTAAACTGTCGATATGTTGTTTCTTTAGATTCTAGTTTTTATTGCATTTTAGTTTTATAGTTTGATGTTAGCATTACTCTTCTTTGTTTTTCTTTTTCTGGGCCCGAAAATAAAATAATGTGACAATATATTCCCAAAAGAAGTGAGCTGCCACTTATTCTAGTGTGGGAGAGCCATGCTTCGGCACGAATGGGCCAACTCAACCGGAGTGATACTACGGCCTCACAGAAAACCGACGTGAAGCAACGCTTGCGTTGTGATTGGCTGTGTGAGTGAGGTTACCGGAAGCACAATTACCCCTCCTTTTCCCCAATCTCCCCAATCCCTGAATCCCCAACGATCCTCAAACTCGTAATCCCCAAAAGACCGGAAACGCCTCTGGTGTTCCAAGTAACCATGGGTGACGCAGATGATCCATAAGCTCGTTTACCGGCTTATGCACTAAAAAAAAAGCTACATTGCCCATCTACTTTGGTACAGTTTTCTTCTCCCATAGGTACTTTTGTTACATCAGCGCTTTTAACCATTGACAAAGAAATACACTGATAATTTTCCAATAGGAAAAAATAATGCCAGTAACACCATTTCTGTCATTTACGTGAAAAAGGGAGACATTTTGTATCATTACTGGTGACAATATAACGAGGAAACGACACAATTCTTACGTCATTAGGTAGGCAATATGGCCGCTGCCTACTGCTTTAGGTTCTGATGTTACATTTTTTGCCATCGCTTTTAATAAGGCTTTTTTGTTGTACTGACTGCCTCGTTGGCCGAGTGGTCGCAAGTGCGAATCGGCAAAGGGTCTCGGGCTCAATTCCCCGATCGGGGTATTACTGAGTTTGTAAAAATTCGAATTGTGCCCGGTATATGGCAATAGGCTCACCCCCTATTAAATGGGACTCATAACATAAATAGTGAAAAGTGGGTGTTATATTGAACATTGGCATTAAGTGTCGTAATGTGCATCTCTGCCTACGCCTTCGGGGATAAAAGGTGTGATGTATTTTGTTGTAGTCGTAATATTTCAGGGTGTTATGAGGATATTTTTTGTAGTTAATTTAATATCTTACCAAAATCGAAATCAGCCACGGGTTGTCGTCTCATTTCTTCTGGAGTTGCAGTAGATGTTGACGATTCATTAGCTGAAGGACCTGAGAAAAAAAATCAGTTACAGTGTGAGGAAGCCAAATGATGTTGATTTACTGAATAAGAATAATTATGGCCATTGAAAAATATTGATGTTGCTGATAAAACATAGGCTTCTTGTCGAAAAAAATAGCAACGGGGAGGTGATAAAATATTTCTATAACAGCTTGAACTTTGGGCCTAGGAAGATATAATGCAGAAAATGTAAGGGCTGATTTTTCAATCCAAATATTATAATTTATGATTTTATAGATAAGTCCTATATAATAGTACTTTAAGGCATTGGCTGCCAATAAAAAACTATTGAAGGCAAATCCTCCGCTAATGTCGGTCACCAGTGACTGCCATGGCGTTTAACGTGTTAATGTATTATCTGCAGAATAAAATTGACATTTGACAGTTTGTAGCAAAGAGAATAAGTATAGGGGGAGTCTTTCAGCTACTAACAACTAAAAACTACCGCAAAGTTAAGTTCGACGGTTTATTAATTTTGCCGTCACCGCTCGACACTGGCAGTATAGTCGACAACACCGTTTTGGAGACTCGGTTGTCAAAGAAGAAAAAAAAAAGTATAGGGGAAGTTTTTAGTATGCAAGATTTGTCAACGATTCAAAATAATTCCTCCGATAAAAGTCTGGCGTTGGAAAAATCAGTCCTAACTTCAATTACTTAGTAGGTAACCGACCTCAAAATGAAAAGTCAAAGTCAAAATCATGTATTTCATTTTTTTTTTTTTTTTAAAACGTTGCCCCACATTAGGATTTTCTCCTGTGTCGTGGGTGCGTTTACAAACATACAAGTTTACATACACATGACACCCAGACCCGAAACAACACTTTGTGGACCACACAGTGTTGTTCCGTGCGGGAATCGAACCCGCGACACGTTGCACGGCAGCCGGTTGCCCAGCCACCGCACCAACCGTGCAGTGCACCAATTGGACAAGAAAGGCACTTTTGAACGGCAACAAAAAAATTAAATCAAAGTGAAGCTATTTGCTAATTCCAAGGTGTAGATTCCTATGGAATATTTGAGACTGATACAAAAATCTTTCACTATTTTTAAGTATTCCGAGTTTTCTACACTTACCCAACATCATTTAACTACTTTCAAAACTATCATTGTCCGGCAGTCTCTTACCAATAAACCTTAGACCCTCATTTGTCCAAACTACATCAATCTAGGCCTAGTTGGCCCAAGTTGTCATCGGACATCTGTCCTTTACATTTATTGTTAGTGCTTTAGAAGTTGGGACTATTATGAAGTTGGACTCGAATGGGGCATTAGAACTAAGGACCGCCTTGTTGGTCTATTGTGTATAAGCACCGCTGTCGAATATGGGGGCTCACGATTCTTGGGTCAGTGGCTAAGTTAGAGATGAGAAAATTTTCATAATTACTAAGTATTTATTCGAAAAGACCATTCCTAGGCTAAGTATTGTTGGTTTTTCAAAAAAAATTTCGGTACCAGCGCTAAAGAGTGATGAGGGATCTCGATTTCGGTTTTTTTTAATGGAATAGTAGGCAAACGAGCAGATAGATCACCTGATGGTAAGCGATCAGCGCCGCCCATGGACACCCGCAACACCAGAGGAGTCAAAGGTGCGTTGCCGGCCTTTTAAAAAGAAATACGCTCTTTTCTTGGAGGTTTTAAGGTCGTATCGGTTCGGAAATACCGCCGACGAACGGGTTGAAACAAAGTATTGTTTTTTCGGAAATTCTCAGTAATAAGCGTGGAGCCTGGAAGTGTTCTCGATTTACAGTAACAGTCTTGGTACAAACAGATGGCGTTAAGGAATAATAATTTAATTAAGAACTTACTAGAGCTACTAAAATATTTTCTTCGGCGTCTCTGTACTATGTCTTCGTCCAGTTTTATCACATCTGTAAAGTAATAATTTGTTAGCGTAATATCGAATTAACATTGAACTAATGAAGTGAAATGATACTAAGTAATATTATGTTTCATATCTGTTAGATATTTCGTCAGAGACAGGCACTAGCACAACATAGATACCAAGCAATATAAAAGGCAGAGCACGGTACATAACTAGGAGAAAAAATCCAATACGGCTTGAAACCTGAACATTTTTACAAAAATCCTCTGTCACCACAAACTAGAGTTCTAGATAAAGTTACAAGCCTCTTGATTGGCAATTTAACACCCCTAGCTTCTGTGTTTACTCTCTAGTGAGAATGTTAACTGAGAGTTTATTTAGATACCTATGTACGTACAATTGAGTACTTGCCAACAAGTACTTAGGTAAAATTCAATACTTTTTTTGAACTGTCAAAAAAACGACAGTTTTCTATGAAATTTGTACGAGATTGTGTATTGTGATGTCACGTTTTTTTAGCGTCAAACCACATACTTATTTCTTAAAAAGTTGCTGAAATTATACTAAAATTAAATTGGACATGAAATGTATTTCATGTTATGTTATTATTTTTTAATATTTTATTGTATTGAACTGTCGAAATAATTTATTTTATTAAAGAAATAACACAATTCTTTGACTAGTTTTATTCTAGGCTTTGTAAACAAAGTCTTATGCTCGAATACTAAAAGGCTATAAGTTTTAAGTCGCGCTAAAGTATAGTTCTATCAATTGAAATTGGACCCTGTTAACCAGAAAAGATTCAGCCCACATTTTATTACTTTTGAGTAATATAAGTTTAACGTTGGGCAGATAAAAAAAAATCATATGACACAGTATCTATTCAATAGATACTGTATCATATGATTACTTGTAAATGTTCTGTACACCTGTATACCTACCTACCTGTAAATTTTCCAGGCCCCCACTTAAATGCATAAACAAAAATTTATTCAAATCGATCCAGCCGTATGGGATGAGTAACCCAGATACTAGGGATGAGTAACCTAGATACTAGGGATGAGTAACCTAGATACTAGGGATGAGTAACCTAGATACTAGGGATGAGTACCTATACCTAAGACTGCAGCGCCATCTGCCGGGCTGATTTGTGAATTACAACCATCCAAAGCGCCACTCAAAATTTCAGCATTCAGAAAAAAAAACATTTAAATCGCTCAAGCCATTAGGAGGAGTTCAATGACATACACACGTACAGCAGAATTATAAAGTATATGAAGATGATAGATTTGATTAATTTAATAGGTACTAACTAGTAAGGGGAACTAACGCCTATACATCGTAAAATCTATTTAGGCGCGCAAGACAACTTGCTTCTTCAGGAGTACTTTCAATGTATAAAGTAAAAACAAAAAAATAAAGATCTTATGTTATTGTAGTTAAAAAAATGTTCAAGGAACGACGACGAGCGACGCACATGAAACACTAGACATTTTGTAAGCACTATTCGTATCGAACATGTCACCCGACAAGAAATACCTCTTTGAGAATTACATGGCGTGATGTTATGATAATGTATTTACTATGAGTTGGAAATAGAATTCACGGCGTGTAATACAGATATGCTTAAAGGTTGAACAACAATCAAGTCAATTATTAGCTATTCTAAGAACTGACTAAAGCTTTGTTCGCACTGTGCTAGTATTTAGTCGAGTAGCACCACGAGTAGTACCAAAATCGAAGCACAAGGGACCTACTAAATACTCGCTACTCGACTAAAGTACTAGCGCAGTGCGAACAAGGCTTAAGAGATTAGGCAGCTGCCCATTTTGATAAACCAGAACCTTTTAAACTGCGTTGTCCAACCTGACTACCAAGTGTGGACAATATGGATGATGACAGGGTATACAATTAAAAATCTAATTAGTCCGTCAGTTAGATAATGAAAAAATATTAGACACGTATTTTTTTATTTTGTTGTATAATAAAATGATACTTAGATATAACGAATCCAAGTTAAGGAGTGGAGGCTAAAACGTCATGTATAAAATTACATAGAAGTGACGTCACGCGACATTTCAAATCAATATATCTTCGAAACTATTCGTTTCCGTAAAAAATAAATAAAAAATACGTGTCTTATGTTTTTTAAAAATATACCAGATGGACATTAAAATAAAAATTAGTCATCTACCCTATTATGGGTCTCTTATGTATTGAAGGCTTCAACTCCACCAGTGGCTTAACACGGGTAGTCCATGATAATGATTTCTTACCATCAAGCAGCTGGTGCATGTTGCGTTGATACAGCATGGCGGTTCCATTGACGAGGGTAGAGGAGGTTCTCAAAGATAGTCTTCTGTGAGGTAGAACTGCAATGTTCACCCAAGAGTCAAGCTCGGTACTGTAAATAAAATGTCAAAATTTGAAATTTAATTCGTATACCTACAGAAAGTGTCGCGGGAGTGCAAGAGAAGGAACAGGGTGGTTTTTAATCAGTAAGAGTCTGATACTCCCTCCCGCCTCACCCAGACAGGAGCAGTCATTCGATCATTTTGCCCCCTTAAAAAAATACCTACATTAAATATATACTGTCATGCCTTTTGATACGGAGGTAGGCTGAAATGGGTTTCAATTAATAAAGAATTTATAGCCATATAATTTACCAAACACCAGGTTCAAGCCATATTACAAAACAATTTCAGAGACAAAAATGTCTAAAAATAATTTGCATCGCCCGGAAATCAAGCTAGGTTGTTTTGTGTTAAACGCTATTGAACAGTTGAACTTTGTAAGAACTAGTATAAAAAAAGTAATTTATATAAACTTACCAAATTGTTGTCAAATTCTGATTTCCAATATTTTCAGTTGATATGTTGTTTGCGAGTTTCCAAACAATCCCTAATATTTTATCGTTCATTAGATTTTTATCATAAAACATGTTGAAATATTATTTATTACAATACAGCAACCACGATTAACTTGCACAGAGAAAAAAATGCGCGCGAAATGAAAATACCCGCTTTTTTATTTCGTAACGTTTGATTTGATGGAAATGCTATTCAGCCTAATTTTTTTTTATGATTTAGTAAATAAATTGTTTATGGAAACTGTATTAGTCATTCTACGTACACATGCATAAAAATGTAAGATTACATGATATTGATTCAGCAGTTCATGAGTTTATTCATGAAATAAACTAAGTTACATACACATAGTTGCTAGGTATCACATTTTTCTTAGTTTTCTATATCATTTGAAATTGCTGTGTACAAATTCATATTTTACTATCTGTGATAAAATGGTGGGAAACATGGCATTTTTATAGGTCTGTGAATTTGTTATTGTAAAGATATACAATGTTTCAGTAGGTGTATGGGTAGGGATCAAAAACATTCTGAAACTACTAAAATTGACACTGGACTATTCGTTATATTTTTACGTCATAAAAATAAAGACAAATGTTGTTCATGTAAAATTTTCTTTTCAATATAATTATTTGTGCGTGCCTGTTAAAAAGTTATTAATTTGCAATTATATTAACATGTTTAGTTTTTTTCTTATCGGTGACGGAACTTTTTATACTAACCCTATTTATGTGATCATTATAAAACTGGCCACATTTTGTCGAAAAAATTGTAAAATGCCATTTAATTTTATTTTTGTTTTATTTCTTTTAATTTTTTAAATGGCGTTTGCAAATTTTTTCGAGATGATCCAGCCAGACGCCATTTTAAAATATTTAACAGTGAAACCTCCTTCCATAAATTTCATGTTCTTTTGCAGCTATTTTAATTATTGTTTTGTAAAATCAGTGTCATTTATTCACTAGCTTCTGCTCACGACTTCGTCCACGCAATCTCGTTTTCTCCCGTTCCCATAGGATATTCAAGATTTTTTCTGTCATAAGAACCTTCTCCTGACAATAACAAACATAACAAAAAAAGAAATTTGAATTTGGTCCAGCCCTTTACACGTGATGGTGCGACCAAGGGATATAGGGATACCAGGAGTAAAGTGACTTTTGTGAGATTATATCAAATTACTTACTAATATATCTTTTTTTTTCATAAATATATTGCAAGTTTTTAAATTTGTTAACCTGAGAGTAGATAGTTTTCGCGTCAAACAACACAAACATCTGTAATACAATATTATACATTTATACAAGCACAAGACAACCGGCGAAGCGTTACCGATTCATGGTAGATAGGTGTCCCAACCACAGACACGAAGCGCTTCGCATCAGGCTTCCTTGTGCGTACTGTTAAGGAGATCTGAAGGGTTTATATAACCTCGATGTCTTCAAGGCCCTGGGGCCTATCTCACTGGTGAATAGGTTGCTTATGGGACAACGTCCTCTACCGTAGTTCGCATCATCGCTTACCACCAAGCGAGATAGAGGTCAAACGCCAACCAATCAAATATAAAAAAAAACTTCTATAGTGTATTTTTAACAGGACAAATATTTAATAGAAATTTTTTTATGAAGTTCATAATTTTTTTTTTAAACTGTCAATCACCAAGCGGTCACCGGTGACCGCAACCTATTATTCTATAATTGTGTCTATAATGACGGTACTCGACGAGTTAAATAACTGTATAATCACATATTTTAAACTGAACCACATCATTACTCGCAACAAGCTCCCAGGAAGCGATTACACCGTCCACAAGATATCTTTGAAGTTTATTATAGAACGTTTCGGTACGGTGTAAATGTGGTCAAAGCATACTCAGTAGGGGATACCCCACACATGTTTTACCGTGTATTTTTATTGCCAGACTAAAAATAACGTAAAGAATATTTTTATGACTTTTTATTTCATATTTTACTCTGTATTTTTATGCTTGTGGCTTCGTGTGAGTTTTTAATGCAATAAATAAGTTAAGTTATGCAAGTTTGTAGATGGGTGGAGTTATACTTAAATCTTGAGACGCATATTTAGGTCTCGAGTTAATTCTAACTCCTGGGTCGGGCAAAATATTATTGGGTTTTTCTAATTGGAAGTTATTTGTAACTAGTAACTAGACTAGACTGCCTCGTTGGCCCAGTGGTCGCAAGGGCGACTGCCGGGCAAGGGGTCTCGAGTTCGATTCCCGGGTGGGGCAAAGCATTACTGGGTTTTTAAAAAAAATCTCAGTAGTAGCACGGAGTCTGGAATTGTGCCCGGTATATGGCAATAGGCTCACCCCCTACCTATTACATGGGACTCATAACATAATTAGTGAAAAGTGGGTGTTACATTGTACAGTGGTATAATGTGCCGTAATGTGCACCTCTGCTTACCCCTTCGGCGATAAAAGGCGTGTGTTATAATGTTAATGTATAATACATGCATAATGCACCGTTGCGAAGCCGGGGCCGGTCGCTAGTTACCTATATAATATGTTATTATCTCACACTGACACTTATTGGGCATAAGTATATATAGCATATATATATATGCCCAATTTTTATCACCCGTACAGGTTTCAATGTCGCTTCCAATTTTGGCCAAGAGCCGAAGCTATAAAGGTGAGTCTCTATCTATTATTTTTGCGTAGTCAGCTGAATTGGGTGGAAATGGACGCGGGTAGCGGTCAGCAAGTTTTGGGAGTTCATGTCGAGAGCTGACCGTATGCTACGTTGCTAGTTCGCTATTGTAGGTCCGACTAGTTCGGATGGTAGACTTATAGGTCTATGTGGTCTGTGGCATTATTTAAGACGTTTTTTACTGCCTCGTTGGCCGAGTGATCACAATACGACCGCCAGTCACAAGGTTATTTCTCGGGTCAGGCAAAGTGCTACTGGGTTTTTGAAAAAAATCTCAGTAATAGCACGGAGCCTGGAATTGTGCCCGATATATGGCAATAGACTCACCTATTACATGGGATTCATAACATAAATAGTGAAAAGTGGGTGTTACATTGTACAGTGGCATTAAGTGCCGTAATGCGCACCTCTGCCTGACCCTTCGGAGATAAAAAGGCGTGATGTTATGTTATGTCTTGTGTGGATGAGGATGCTCATAGTTCAGCAATAGACAACCACGGATTCTTAATGACGATGATACTTTAGAGCTTTAAAGCAATTCCAACTTTAACATAACCCATTTAAAATCTCATTTCACTTGACAACAACCAGTCTCCACTCAAGTTTAACAAAGGTGCAAAACATCGCGTAACAAATGGTTCTGTCCTCAAGATAATTAGAATTAATATTTGGAGTTTCTTGCTTGTATTACAACGCGAGAGTAATTAGTGTGATCAATCCTGTTGTCAAATGCTGCTCATCCGGCCACCACAATCTTATCACAAGTCATTCACCCCGCGTCGACCACTCTTCATTCAAAGGGCAGCTACAGACTGTTTTTATCGCGCGATTTTTTATAGTGTAACAAAAAATTGAAGGTAGGTTTTTTTGTAACTTAAATAATTTATTTAAATGAAATACAATGTTTATAACTACATAAATATTTACAACTTAAAATTAACTACTTACAACTAAACTATTAAGTCAAGTGAAAGTAATTTTTTTTTATTCTTGGTTTTAAATATTGACTGTTTGGTATTTGAATGTTTTATGAAAATTCTTTTTTCTTTTCTTTTCTTTTTTTAAAGGGCACTCACGACCTCGATCACGACGTGATGCCTCACGCTAGGATTTACTGGGTGGTCATGAGTGCGTTCGATGATGACACCCAGATCCGGAAAAACAATCTGTGGATCACACAGAGTTGCTCAGTTGCCCAGCCACCGCGCCAATCGTTCAGTCATTTAAGATTTTTTGAGCAGTAATTGTTTTCGGATTCATTAAGTACTTTTTATCTTTTATCTAATATAGTCAGTAGATGTTGTACCTACTCTCGTACATCCGTATGTAACCTTGAACTTAATGTAATCAATGTACCTAAATAGGTATGTACTGCCTAGCTTGATTATAGGGCTATCTCTTATTTGATAGGCTCATAATGATAACCGTTGTGGAGTGAATGACTCAGATGATGTTTCCAATGTAATGTACTGCTGGTATTAAATACTTTTTGTGTCTTCATTTGTATGATGTACCTTCATATCAAATTATTAATACGATCAATTAACTCGTCGAGTACCGTCATTATAGACACAATTATAGAACAATACCGGTGACCGCTTGGTGTTTGACAGTTAAACTATAATGTAACATGTCTTCTTGTTGTATCTTGCAGACAATATATTCTTTCAATTAATTTTTATTTCATATCTTCATAAGGTATTCATTTTAGATCCTTTTCCTGTTCATTTAATTTGTCGTTATTACAATTTTTCACACACACAAGCCTTAAAAGATTATGCCATCGCATAATCTTTATCAATCCCTTTAACGGATTTCTCAATGATACCACAAAAATTCTAAGCACATTATAATTAATACCTATATCGCCGCAACTGAGAACGAACTTCGCGCAACTCAGATCGTCTGGAGAGGCAGTACGTTGACGGAAATTCGGGAGAACCGGCTATAGCGTAGCGGCCAGTATTTCATACCTCCCCCGTGAGTCGAGTCGGGAGGACGTGCCGACTCCGGAATCCGCGCGATTTGTGTCTGTGATTGTGTGAACGAAATATGTAAGTACGATCACCTATTACGATAATTATTATTTCTAAATATGGAAGCGGACGCGTTTTTTTTTAAACTTTGCGTGTAATTTTTTTATTGTTGAATGTTCTTAGTTTGAATTTGGAAATGTTTTTTATTATTAAATTCTATATACGGCGTGCATTCGGATGAAATTAAATTTCTTTCGTAACAAATTTTCCGTTAAGGTAGATAGATGCAGGTAGTTAATTTATAATTTAACAATTCTAATGATGAAAATGGTTAGCAAGTATTGGCTGATAATTAATTTATTATTAATAGTATTGTTAACATATCTATCAATAAAAATAAACTGCCTATTTAATTATCTATTATCGCAACAGTTATCGCGAAAATAACATGGTAATGAGTTATTAAAAGATAGACAACTATTATTATTTGTTATCTTTATGATTTATGAATTAACTCTATTAATAATTTAAGATTATTTACCATTTATCTTTAATTCATTATTAGGTTATAAAAATCAATATTATTTCAGTATTTTTTTCACAATTGCTGATTAAGTTGCTGTTAGCATAACTGACATAATATTTTGAAATTTAAAAAGTAGGTACGTCAATGTTTTCACCAGGTAGAGACTATACCTACAGAATCTTAATTAAACATTGTGTATTTAGTTAGCTTTAAGTCTAAAATTGTTTCTTAATACGTTTAATTAACATAGAAACATTTCAAAAACGCAATTATATGGCCTTCGCGTTGTTAAAATTACATTAAAAAAATAACTAAACTCCTAAAAAGACGCCATAAATAAATGTAAAATGAAAACCAATAAATTAATAAAATTAGATTAATAAGAGTCTCTTGTATTCATTTAAACGGAAACATTTTGATTTGACAAATATAATAATTCATAATTGAAATGAGTTAGGTACTTTCGTTTTCGTGTCGAAAAATTAAAATTGGTTGTCTTGAATAATTAAATTAATACGTTTTCGTTTAATTATTTTGTAGGTTGTATTATTTATTAATTTTTGTATTTGATTTTGTTGGATGATTTATTTTTGTATATTGATATTGATAAAGGGGTGATTTGGACAGTTTGGTTTCTGTTACGGGTCTGGATGTGATGTGTTTGTGAATTTGTATGTTTGTAAATATAGAAGCGAGTCCTAACTTACGGCCAGTGACTTTTCACAAAAAGAAATAAGAAAATCCCATAAAAAAGAATATTACCTAGGTATATAAAAATAATTATTATTTGATAGTTGAGTGTCTCTTTTTTATTTATTTTTTTATTTATTTATTTCAACTTCATACAACGAGTGTGTACAGGTGGACTTAATGCCTTGGGCATTGTCTCCCAGTCAACCTTTTTTGATAATGGAAGAAAGCTTTATATGGTGCCTAGCTTTCCGGGTAAAGACTAAGGAGTTACATACATTATGACCTTATTGAAGTTATCCTAGTGGTCACTGTCAGCACGTATTCATCATCATTGAGTAATCAACTTCATTAGAAATTATTAAATATAACAACAAGACAATTTTAACGTATGAATATAAATTCTTTATCAATACACAAAATAAAATCTTACAGGAACCTTCATTGCTTTATAACAAAAAAATAACAGCCAATAACAGTCTAGTATTTTAAATGTCTAACAAAAAACAGATGTACCTTACCTTGTTTACAATAAAAACAAAAAAAACACAACCTTAAAAGTTCACCAATCCTTCGAGAATTTTAAGTCTTCATTCTTAAATTTACCGTTGTTTAACCTCAAAAAATATTGTTTCGGAGTTTTAAAAACAAGCCGAGTTTCTTTTTTCTTCGGCTTTGTATATTTTATGAATGTTTTTTGTCTTAACATAAATCTGAAGGCTTTGTTTTAATTAACTCGAACGCAACTTTTCTTATGAAGACTTTAAAAAAAAACGCTGCAATATTAAGGAAAAGAAAATTTTCGGTTGAAACCTTATAGCGAACAGCGTAGGTAATGAATAAATAATATTAAAACTTTGATATTCTACAAATAAGTGACTTATCAAATACATTGTAAGGTACATTTTGTTCTGTATTATTTTTGTAAGATTTTTTTTATCGAAAGCTTTCCAGAACGTATTCGTAAAAAAGTAATTTCCAATTTCAAATTAGTCCAGTCAACGATTTTATAGACTTTTGGACTTAATCGTCAACTGGCGAGCGCGAATCTCGCGAGCGCGCGCGAGTTAGCACTTTTCGATTTTGCCTACTTTTGTTGTCGTCAACTCGCGCGTCTATATAATTTGATGTTTTAATGTATAGTCAGCTACAAAAACGTTATAACAAATTTAATTTAGTTAGGTACTTACCTACTATAAATGTATAAGAAACTTTATGAAATTTGATTTTTAAAATAAAACAAAATATACATCGTTTTGAAATCAGTTTATTATAAATCAACAGGACAAAATATAAATTATTAGTAGTATTTCCCTTACTAATTATCAACAATATCACATTGATTTGAGAATTTGGCTTATTATCTTATTATCTAGTATGTAAATTGTAAAAAACTAAGTAAATAAAATAGAAACAACGAAAACACTCCCCTCACATACTCGTATACAAAATTATATGTGAGGAGATTTTCGATAAATCTCATAATATAAATAATTTAAACCGTACTGAAAATTGGTAAGTATAAAATAGTAAAGCTAAACATAGTAATTGACAACAAACTGACTTATTATTGCTCACTAATAAAATCAATCTTAGGAACCATAGAAAGAGTCTTAGAAACTATAAAATCACAGATCAGATATGGTTGTAAATGATTTTTACAAAAAACGCTAAACACTATCAATAAGTAGATTCATCAATTGGCTAAGTTATTACTGACGACCTACAAATAAAACTAATCACAGACTATAAAATCACAGATCATGGTTTGTTATAAATGATTTTTATAGCAAACGTTAAAATAAACAGACTATGCTAAATTAAATCAAAAATCACAAGATCAAAAGTTCGATACATAAGTCACAACCATATCTGATCTGTGATTTTATAGTTTCTAAGACTCTTTCTATGGTTCCTAAGATTGATTTTATTAGTGAGCAATAATAAGTCAGTTTGTTGTCAATTACTATGTTTAGCTTTACTATTTTATACTTACCAATTTTCAGTACGGTTTAAATTATTTATATTATGAGATTTATCGAAAATCTCCTCACATATAATTTTGTATACGAGTATGTGAGGGGAGTGTTTTCGTTGTTTCTATTTTATTTACTTAGTTTTTTACAATTTACATACTAGATAATAAGATAATAAGCCAAATTCTCAAATCAATGTGATATTGTTGATAATTAGTAAGGGAAATACTACTAATAATTTATATTTTGTCCTGTTGATTTATAATAAACTGATTTCAAAACGATGTATATTTTGTTTTATTTTAAAAATCAAATTTCATAAAGTTTCTTATACATTTATAGTAGGTAAGTACCTAACTAAATTAAATTTGTTATAACGTTTTTGTAGCTGACTATACATTAAAACATCAAATTATATAGACGCGCGAGTTGACGACAAAAAAAGTAGGCAAAATCGAAAAGTGCCAACTCGCGCGCGCTCGCGAGATTCGCGCTCGCCAGTTGACGATTAAGTCGACTTTTGCGATTTAGACAGACATTCTTTACGATTTAGGTATAACAAAAAGAACGTAGATAGGTACCTATAAAAACTGTGACCTATATTACATGAATGTTTATATTATTAAATTCATTGACACACAGTTTTAGGTATCAACAAAGATAAGAGGAAATTGTTAGTGTTTTTTTTTTAATTCACAGAAACACACATTGATATTATGCATTTTTTTAATATCGCATTTATTTAATATTTGATATAATCCGTAAATTATTACATGGAACTACCAAATCATTAACGGCTTGTCATAGTCTTCCACTACATGATTCTACTGGTGCTGGACTGCATCGTTGGCCGAGTGGTCGCAAGTGCGACTGCCGAGTAAGGGCTCTCGGGCTCGATTCCGGGGTACGTCAAAGAATTACTGGGTTTAAAAAAAAAATTCAGTTGTAGCACGGAGTCTCAATTTGTACCCGGTATATGGCAATAGGCTCACCGCCTATTACATGGGACTCATAACATAAATTGTGAAAAGTGGATGTTACATTGTACAGTGGTATAATATGCACCTCTGCTTACCCTTTCGGGGATAAAAGGCGTGATGTTATGTACGGTGCTGGACTACAACCCTCTTTAGATATAAGAGGCCCTCTTTTAAGAGGGTCTACCAAAATCTCCAGTTTCATTTAAATTGTCGATTTATATTTATTTCTAACGAAAGTTTCCACAAACTATTTTTAAATTTGAATTTAGAAATAAAATATAAAAGGAACGGTATATACAGGCTGCGTCATTATTCGCTTCTTTCACCCGGCCCGTTAGGTTTGCCTAGGACTCGCCATTCAAAGGTTAAATGCTTTTTACTAAAAGCAAAACGCAAACCGTTTGACAAGCTTTTATGTCGACAAACTCATAGCAATCGATTTTACTTTAAGTAAGTAGGTATACGTATACGTAGGTACGAATATGTTTGCCTTAGAATTTTCCAGTTTATTTATTCTAGGAAAACTGGGAAACCTTTTGATTTATCATTTTGTTCTGAGCTTAATCATTGGTTTGGATAACAAAGAGTCTATACAAACTCCAGTATAGCTTTTTTATGGATAAATAGCCAGTTTGTAGAAAAAATGTTAACCTGTAATGATAAATGTAAGTTTAATAAATAAATATAATAAATATAGTGTTTATCTTCAGTTCTACTAAACAAATGTCTAAACAAAATGTGTGCATTTAATTGTACTACATTTTGTTGCAAATTAGTGAAATAATTTTCATAAACTCTATTCATCCTAAGGTTGTCAGGAAGGGATTTAAAGATATTCACTTTTGACTGTTAAGAACGTATTATTGTACACATTATTACTAAGGACGTATTATTGTACACATTATT